AGGTCTATCGCACTAGCATATCATGGCAGTTTTTATAGCTGATTATCACTTGTGATGACATTGCTCGGGTTTGGTCACTTTTAGAACAATTAATGGTAGCAATTATTTTGTCATTTGAACCATCATTTGCTCCAGCAAATCTGTGAACTGTTGACCTTGCCTACATGTATTTTCGTTTTCACTTTGCTTCCAGCATTGTGACAAACGTTATTACATTACTGGCCTTGTTTTGTGATGTCTTCAGTGATTTTAGAACAGTTAATCAGAACATGGGTAACATGAAAGGATTTTTACAAATGTTGTTACCTACTCATTTTTAGTATCTAACATTTTAAAATGACTGTTAGAATTCCCAACGACCATCCAGCAATAGTGTTGTGACATCATATAAAAAGTTAATTTAGCCAATCAGCAAATGCTTAAATTTGAATATAGGCTGTTGTAGACACCACATTACATTCAAAAATGATTAAAGTCATGAATGATGCATGTGCAGTGTGGGTGTAAACATTGTTGGGCCAATCACCAGTGTGGAAATTATTACATATTTGAATTTGAATGAAAGCTGATGACAGATACAGTATGTACTGGGTATATTTATGAATGCAGTCATAAACTAAAATTCAGGTTTCTGCTGCGCACTGTAATTTTTGTTTGCTCTCAGTGTTAGGCTCAAGTAACTGATCATTGACACTGCCACAAAGTGTGATGTTCTGTAGTAATAATCCATCTGTCCCAAAATCCAGTCGAAACCTGGCAATAGATATGTACATGTACATAGTGTTCCCTCTAAGTCTTATTTTTGCTCAATTTTCTCAGATTCAATTGTAGTTTCTCAGTGAAATTTTGTCTTTTGAGAAACTTTCCATGCATTTTGTATGCAGAAAAAACATTTCAAGGGGAGAATGGGCAAATTTTCACAGTATTTTCAAGATTCAAAAAAAATTAAAGGGAACAGTGCATGTACAGGCTGTTGAAGAGAGAATTTATATATACGGTACACTGTATATCAATGTTTTCATCCAACATTCTTAGTGTACATGCACAGTCCTTGATCAAAATCAATTCATCACTCACTACTGTGAGGGTTTCTTAACTAAGTGCAGGTGTAACCAGCCTATCTAATTTGAACAGATATACAGGCTAGAAACTTCAATAGAGGTTTATTAACACCACTGTTTTAACTAATGAAGTTGAGTGTAAATAACGATTTAGGCTAGCACTGAATGCGCGTCTTGCATTTGTCAATCCAGCAAAAGCCCTGGTGGCAAAAGAAAATGGTAACTTTAGGCATACACTTGAACAAATTGGAATGAGATATGTCCAAGATTTTGTCCCAAAGATTTGTACGAGGATGCATTTTGCACAAATCTATGACCAAAAATCAAGTTTTCGATCATTGTCATGGCAACAGGACAGAACTATATATTTTTTTTCAAATTTGTCCACCTTTCTAATGCTGATGTGACCTGCCTGTCAAGTTTGACCAATATTGGCCAATGAATTATTTGCACATGTGGGGAAAAAAACATTGATATTGGTCTATATGCACTCCATTAGAGATGCGCTTTTAATATTTTTATGTTTACACTTAGAAAATAAATATTTTAATGACAACCCATCCTACAATAAATGCAGTTATTGGTTTTATTCACTCTTGTATTGATGGTCATGCGCTTCTAATTAGAACAAATGCAGTAGAGAAAATATGAATAATTTTGTAAGATTGTAATCTCTTTGTTGTGCAAAGTATGTGATCACGTACATGTAGGAATACGAGAATCATTTTTTCATTGAATACTTAATAAAGCTGTTGAAAACATTAATCTTATAAGAGATTCATATTGAATGTGTTTTCTGATTTATGGATTTAGTCACTCAAGGCCTATATATAAAGCTGTTCACGAGTAATTTTTTGTTTGACGTCAGCGCAACCCGTTGATTCTGTCACATTCTGTGAAGAGAAACAAGTATGCAAATGAGACCATCATGAGTCAGTGACCTATCAAATACGTTTCTGCAGCAAATATAATTTTGTTGCGTTTATTGTGTTCACTTTTACTGAGAAGATGTTATGAAGTTTGGAATTTTTTATAAGTGATGTTCCATTATAAGCATTTGCAAACAATCTCCACCTTTCAATTTTTGGGGGAAATGGCGGGCCAAAAGCTTCTCACTTTAAACATTTTTTTTTAAATCATCCTTTTATTGTTTTGATCCATGGCAATTCAACTTGTCGCTGAATTGAAAGAATTCAACTATGGACCCAAGGTCTACAGTTTAAACAAAAATACTACCATCAGTCTATGTTGCAAGATATTATTAAGCTGACAGTATCTGTCAAGTACATTTTTCAATGTAATCTCATAATTTTCCAGCCACAATTTTGGTGCACCGGACCGTTTTGCACATTTTTTTATGTATTTTACTGTAATTTCCTTGTAACTTTCTTTATGTAGGTTTATTTTGTGGAAGGTGATGGAAAGTCAATGATATTCAATGAATTAATAATAGACAAGTAAAATATGCTAATAACAATTGAACTGCTTTACAATATCATTATGCAAATTACATATTTTTTCCTGAAATTGATCTGTAAATAATTTATAGTTATGTATTTATTGAGGTAATGATTATGCTTCAATTTGCTGTTTTTTTATGTGTGATTATATCACTAAATATTGTCATTTTGTTACAAATGCCACAAGTTCTAAAAATAGAAGATTGTATACCAGACTGCAGCAGCTTGCAAATAATTACATACGTTCTGAAAAGTTAAAGAAATTCATAGTTGCACTATATAAAAATATTCAGTATTATAATGAATTTGCTCAAAGTACATTGTGTACTCAAGTCGATTTTTTCTGCCCAGTTTCCTATCATGGCAATGCTGTTTGATTATATTATTGTTTTGGGAGATGGTGTACAGTCGCATATCTTGTCAAAAAGATAAATTGTCATGGCAACTTCACAATAGTGATTTATCTTACACATGAATTACACAATTATTAAAGTTGAAAATCTTATATTCTTAAAAATATCAGAATTACAAATTTTAATACCCCTGTATGTTTAGAGATTAACAAGGCAAGGCTTTGCTTTAGTGTACTTAAATTTTGAAAAAAGCTTAAAAATTACATATTCACCAATCAAAAAGCAGTTTGTAAATTTACCATCAATAGTTATAAAAACAGTATATTACACATTTCTCTCTAAATTATTAATATTATATTCAAATGAAACTACAGTAAAAAGGAGAGGGCTTAAATTGTTATAAACATATATTTTTTTATAAATCAAAATTGTTGCTAGAATTAAAACTGACTGATCCAGAAATTGTGACATTGTTAGTCCTAATTAATATTAATGAGTTAGTTCAACATTATCAAATCAGCAAACGTTTCATTATGAATAAGTGGGTGGTCTCAGTCGCTACGTCACAGGAAGGCATGTGCACACATCATGGGTGTAGACAATGTTGAGCTCTTGAGACAATCACTATTGAAATATTTGAATTTAAATGAATTGATTGGTATATACAAATTGGAATATAAATATGTTTATAAATTAAGCTTTCTGCCAATCACTGCAGCATCATTTGCATTCCTTATTTGTGTATTACTATAACAATGCATACATGTATATGGATTTAAGATTCAGCTTGTTATCTAGTGCCAGTAAATTTGTCTAGAAATTGTTACTACTGAGGATTTTTATGATGAGAGGATATACATGTATACAAGTGGTGTGATATGCAATGAAGATTTCACATGAATTGTGAGATAATATAATCCTATATTTCTTGAAATACTAATACAAATTAGTGCATGAGTCTGTGAAACATTGTTTAATAGTGTCCTTACTTTAATAGTCCTAAAAAAATTAACAAGTGTTATTCTGGTAATATTGAAAACAAAAGTAGGGTAGGTAGCGAGGAATAACTTTTTATTTTATGAAAATTAAATAATTAATTTCAATTTATTATTCTGCAGTGATGGTCGCAGTGTTTTTAGCTCCGCTGTCGACTTTGTCGAGCGGAGCTTATCATATGAGTGATTGTCCGTCGTCGTCGTCCATGTCAATGTTTTACTTTTTCGACTTCTTCTTGAAAACTACAAGCCTGAATGCTTTGATACTTGGTGTATATGTACCTTGGGTAGACCTCTCTCAGATTTGTTCATTTCATGATGATATCTTCAATTCTCTAATTTTGGTGAATATTTTTGTCATTATTGGTAAAAAGTGATATTTTCGACTTCTTGTTGAAAACCGCATGTCCAATTGCTTTGATATTACGGTACATATATAGGTACTACATGTGGACCTCTCTCAGATTTGTTCATTTCATGATGATATCTTCAATTCTCTAATTTTGGTAAATATTTTTGTAATTTATGGTAAAAAGTGATATTTTCCACATCTTGTTGAAAACCGCAAGTCTGATTGTTTTGATACTATACATATTGTTCATTTTTTAATGATACTTTCTGTTCTTTAATTGAAATGTGCATTGCTAACAGCAGGGCTATCTCAGCCGAGAGGCTGCTTGTTTAACAATACATCGCATCTTACATGTACAGGTTGGCATTTTGGTTTAAAAAATGAATAATTTCAAGTGGAGCTGAAAGGAACAGCTACAACTGCCCATTTTCCAGTTTGGCCATCAAAAAATTAAAAGTCAGGCTGAAAAAAAAAACTAGGACCGGAAACACATTGATTTTTTTTTTATTTGGCCTCATTCACAAAGCATGTAGTATGTTTCACTGATTTCTGTTAATGCATTTAAACCTTTCCGTTGAAGCATTCACTGTATTCCGTGGTTAAAAATATGTTTTTCAATGCACACATAACGGGATCTTATTTAAATGCTTGCAAAGCATGATTTCTTCATCGCATACATGGATCACCATACATGATCATGAAAGTTTCATACCCTTACTTTATAAATCTCTAATAAAACCAGCTTTGTAAATGTATGAATTTGTTTTGTTCCTTATAAGGTGATATATTGAAGAGATGGAAGAAGCAATGGTGTGTACTATACGGAGATGGTGGGCTTGCATGTTACACTGATGAGACAAGAAGAGAGAGAGAGATGGTTATCAGAATGCCAATTGATGCTATCTTCATCAATGTATGATCCTTGTTTTCCCTTATCTGTATACTTGATAGAACATGTGTCTGTGCCCACTTGATGTCATCCTATTCTAACTTGTCTTGTACCACAAAACAATATATAACCAACCTTCAGTATAGTCTAAGCGTAACTTAACTCCCAAGCTGGCAAAGCTAGCTTAAAGCTAAGTGTTGGGTTATGTGTGGATTGTAAGACTGTACTGTAAGCCTATGAGCCTGCAGACATCATTTACTGTTTTAGGAAAAATCTCGAGTTGGCACATATGTCTCATTATGGGCGACATTAATCTTTATGGTTTTTAGGGGGTTTTAAAGTACATCCTTGAAGTTTGCGTCTGCTTATAGATTGATGGTCAAAAGATATGTACATTTGAGTGTTAGACTAGGCCTTCATTTGGGCTGATGTGTTATATCATAGCACAAGAAATTCTTCTAATATTGTTACAGGCAGACCTTGGAAAAGTCATATAATTGATTGCACTTGGCAAAGCACATATAACTGGTTTACAAGAAAGCTCAATCTTGCCAATATTGTAGGTTATGTGGCTGATGTATTGCACACTTTATAATTTCTTGTCTGCCATATATCACAAGTCTTCTGATGAGATGTAAAGTGTTTTCAAGCAATCTATTATGGGATACATCTTCTCAATCATGGCTTACTTAGGGAGTCAACAACAGCCTCGCATAAATCAGGACAGACAGCATTACTTGTGGGTTTTTGAGCCATAAAAAACCTATGTACATAGAAATTCATGGACTGACAAAAAATACATCTAATTTTAATATTCTTATTCCAATGTTTTTAAGTTTTTAATAATGCCTTAATATTGATGTTTAAATTTGTTTCCAATGGTTCTTTGGGAATTGTACATGTCTGCGAATTGATATAATATGGAGAAAATTCAGATATTGCTCCAAAAATTGTCCTTCTAAAACACTGCAAACACATAAGAAGATGTATATACATTAGTTGATTCAGGTTCTTTAATGACAACTTCAATGTTAGTTTGCTTCAGGGCACATAGGTAAATTCAACTTCTCAACTTAGATAATACATTTTGTAAATTTGATAAATAAAAAAACGTTTGTTACGGAGACTGATTAGTACATGTACCCGTATATTAATTACCTAATTTGCATAATAATTAATTTTCAAGCGACGATAATACTACTTGTTAAAAACACAAAGGCTCATGGCTTGTTTGTAAACAATGACAAGCTATGGCAATCTGAGGTTTGTGCAGGTGACGACTCCCCCGCTTTAATACATCGCCAGCTGAAACCCTCCCTTGATTCAAAGATTATATTTTGTCCTGACATGTGTGTATGTATATGAATAACAATACATTCCTCATACTAACATATCATAAAGTTTCAAAGCCATTCTGCATGTCTATAATATAAAATGAAGTTACAATACAAAACTGAAGTTGGTATATCAGTAAAATTATCTACCTGATATCTGATGGCTGGAATTTTTGTACCTCCCCTGCTTATGAGATGGTAGCCAAGCAACAAGGGAATCCAAAAATGGGTTATTACATCAAAAACCCTCCCGTAGTCTACTGGAGGGTCTATAATTACATGTATATTATAATTACAGTCGTTAATTTTGTATTTAAATACTCTTGATTTCAAGATTCTTTTTGAGATGAAATTCTTAAGATTGATCACTCAGTGCCTACTGCTTCTGTTTAAATTTCTTTGACTGGCTCTCCCAATTGAACCGTGTGTCAAATTAATTTTTTTGATATTTTGGGTTGTAAATGGAAGCTATTTGATATTGCCAAATTATAGGTAAATATTTCATCTCATTGTGAAAGAGTGTGAAACACTGCCATAAAAAACAATACAAAATGATTTGTCTTGATAGAATGAAATATATTGTAAATCTTTGCAAGTGAAGATATACTTCATACAGAATGGCAGAATTAATGCTATTATACTCGGTAACTAAGCAACTAGAGCATTCTAAATCATCATCTATCAAATTTCTCGTAATGTGTTTGCTTGGAAATGGTCCATAAACTTTGTTATCCTGGCTCAGTGGCTGCTAAGTGGTACTTACTTTTACTACAAAAACATATTTATGTACATGTACAAAAATGTAGCTGCTGTTTATCGGTGGCTATTTTCAGATTTTATTCCTAAAAAACCTAAAACATAGAATAAAAATTAAAAAATAAATTATTTTATTCAACTAAAACTTAATTTAAAATTTATCGAAAAAACAAAACAAAAAATCTGATTGGCTGCCAGCTGTTTTTTACATTACTGTATTTTATAGCTTGTAATTTACAGTCACATGACTTACCAGCAGTATCAAACTCTGCAGTTATTGCACCAGAATATATACCTCAATGTGGGTCCCATATGGCAACTCCAAAGTGACTGGCATGCACTGCACTCCACAACGTCTGGCTATTTAATCTTGAGTTATTTTCTTTCATTCAGAGTGGGCTAGCTGTGAGGTCAGTAACACCACCAGATCGCCGCGGTCATGATAGCCTGATTGAAATCAGAACACATCTCACATCTATTAATCTGTGTGCAGAGTCCCCTGATGACTGCAAAGCCTGGACCATAGCATTGGAGCAGATGAGATCCATACAGGTACACTAAACATTACACTTATTCTATATTTAAACTGAACTTCTGTCATATTGGACACGCACTTCTAACAGCAAATATGGTTTTGTTTTGAACTACTGTAGAATACTTTGAACTACTGTAGAATACTTTATTTCCGCTTGAAATTTATTTTCGCTATTTTCACTGAAGGGATGCTTCAGTGAAAATAAAGTCCAGCGAATATACTTTTTCTCCTATGTCTCACATTCAACTCATCAAAAATCAGTGAAAATAAATTCCATGCAAAACACCCAAAAAGCATTCTCAGCGAAAATTAATTCCAGCTAAAATAAAGTCTTTCACAGTAACCTGTGTCGTGTGATATTGCAACTGTGTGTATAAAAATAGCAATAAAATACCTTGGAAGTACAAATATTTCAACATTGATTTGAATTACTACAGTCTGTGTTCATTTGTGAATGTAGTTGCTGGCAATGAGAGCATTCCTAAAGCTATATTCCGGTCTCAGACTACATGTGGCATATTTGATAGTCTGAATTTGTATGCATTACCAGGAAAAAACGGCAGTACATCAGAACAAAATTGAGTCATTGTAGATTCATGTGTGAACACTGGTATAAAGAGCAATTATTAAGAGAACTTCAACCCCCCCCCCCCCCCAAAAAAAAGTGGTCAGTCTAAATCATCACCAACAATTTGGATATTTGACAGTTTATTGTATATTGATCAAAATTCATTCAAATTCAGACCATCAAAGTTTTCACATACTGATAAAATTTTGTGAATTGCTCTCAGAGTGTCTCTCTAATAACTGTATTAATTTCATACTATGCAACAAGGAAGTAATATATACTTGTACCAAGCTAGAAAAACAATGAAATTGATAGATTTTTAACTCACAAGAGACTTTGTCTGAAACTAGGGCTTATAAATTTGTCTCATCTGTCTGACCATAATCGGTTCTCAGATACACACGAAATAATTTTATTCAAACTTAGTAGATCTCTGCCTGGAGATGAACTTTTATTGATTTCATAGTCTGATCAAAGATGGTCAGCTGACACCCGTTTTAAGCCTAAATTCAACAATTTAACAACTAGTTTCACAGACTCACTGAAAAAATGTAATAGCTTACTAATGCACATTGGTTAGTCTCTGAATTACATAGTTAGGTATTTGTTTGGTATGCATCAACTTATTCCACTCGTATTTAATATTGCCTTAGCGTATCACCAAGATTAAAGTTTCCAAACAGCACTTTTACAAAAACCAACATTGTCTATAGAGGGCAGTATACATCGGTATATGACTCTGTATACTGTAAGACCATTTATTGTCGCTGTCATTTAATTTCGCTATTTTGATGCATTGAGCAATCTCACTGGGTTTCATGAACTTGGCAGAGAAACAATAAAAAATAATGAAATTACGTTTACAGTATCTTACCAATAACTGAAATTTGATTTAAAATTTCATACAAATTTAATACGATTATTTTAAGACCTATTAATTCAATTATTTTTCATCTCTGATATCCATGACTGCCATAACCCATCAATTGTTGCGTGTACAGTTGTATACATGTAATTCTGCTTTATACATGTAAAGTTAGTGTCACAGTTTATGTTAATTTTCTTACTATCCGCCAGCAGCCTCCACCTCGAGTGTACTCAGCACCAGGAAATGTGACAGTCATCCATCGACGTCAAAATCCTCCGCAAACTTACCGGGCTTCAACGGTCACAACCACTACATTTCCTGATGGCCATACTGTGGTTACACCAGGCCCTACCCAGACTATGGTTTACCCTACAACTCAACACACTCAAGTAATTCAAACAGCTCCTGGACAAGCTGTATATATTGATCCAAATCAATGTGAGTGTTCTCTTCTGTATTTTCATAATGCCTTCTTGTGTTTGTGGCAGATTATCATATATCAGAATCTGGAACTCGTATTTGTATTGCATAACAACACAATATAAAAGACATTGACTAACTGTGCGGGAACATTTGGAATTCGTCATTTTTTGATTGGTATAATTAATTTAGCATGCTCATTACAGAGGCAATTTGAATAACTTTGAGAATTTTTTTATCATAATTTTATAGTGTTTGATATTGCATCTTGGGAGGAAGAGTATATGAAATATTGATTTAAAAAATTAAAAATCATAACATTAAATCATATACTATTGTTTTACTCAAGATGCAAAATTATTTTAAAATGCTCAAAAAAAATACTCAAAGTTATGATTTGTCAATGTTCGCCAAGTAAAACGAAAAGCTTATTTCATGTCGCCCCAGACATCTACCAACATAAGATTAGGATAATTCTGAATTTGTATCTGAAGTGGGTATCACTGGTTCAAATGTAATTAGTAACACATTGACGACCACCCAAATATGACCGCTATAAATCATCAGTGTGTTGATAAATGAACTACTGTGGAGATCATATTGAAATTGGCATTTAATCAAACAAACAAAACTGTCATTTACTTTTATATTTGCTGTAGAATACTTTATTTTCATTTGGAATTTATTTTCACTATTTTTGCTGAAAAGATGATATATCTGTTTTCCTGTATTTTACATTTAACTCATCAAAAATAAGTGAAAATAAATTCTGTACACAAACACAAAAAAGTATTTTCAGCAAAAATTAATTCCAGCTAAAATAAATTATTTTACAGTATCACATTTTGTATTACCGGTACATCAAGTTAATAACATTTTTTTTTGCCTGATCATGTTCAAACTTCAGGCATCAAACTTTAATTCCTAAAAAAATATTTTGTTGGATTGATATTGAACATTAAACCACAAAAATCAAAGTTCACCACCTACCGGTACATGAATTTTAAAGCTCCTCAATTTTTACACTGCACATGTTTAGATATTTTACCCATACTGCATTGCGGTTCTCTTTTAAAAACAAAATGATGGCAAGCAGAGTAGTGTCAGAAAATCATCAGGTACATTATGTTTGATAACGATACAATGCATTGTGGGAAATTACATCAAAATCCTTTACTTGCTGTATAGCAACTGTGAAACTTCAACTCTCCCCCTTAATGTAATAGCTTTTGTTTTTGGGTTACTTTTATACAAATAGAGAGCACTTTAAATCAGTCTCACCACATGGTATTTCACCACATAGTTTCTCACCACATAGTATACCTCACCACATAGCATCTCATCACAGTGTGTCTCATGGCATCCCACCACATGTCATCCCACCACATGTCATCCCACCACAGTGTCTCATGTCATCCCACCACATATAGTGCATTTCACCACATGGCATATCCCACCACAGTGTGTCTCATGGCATCCCACCACATATTGCATCTCACCACATGGCATATCCCACATATAGTGCATCTCACCACATTGCATCTCACCACATATAGTGCATCTCACCACATATAGTGCATCTCACCACATATAATGCATCTCACCACATGGCATATCCCACCACAGTGTGTCTCATGTCATCCCACCACATATAGTGCATCTCACCACATGGCATATCCCACCACAGTGTGTCTCATGTCATCCCACCACATATAGTGCATTTCACCACATGGCATATCCCACCACAGTGTGTCTCATGGCATCCCACCACATATTGCATCTCACCACATGGCATATCCCACATATAGTGTATCTCACCACATTGCATCTCACCACATATAGTGCATCTCACCACATATAGTGCATCTCACCACATATAATGCATCTCACCACATGGCATATCCCACCACATTCTGCAATTCACCACATGGCATCCCACGACCACATTCTGCATCTCACCACATGGCATCTCACCACATGGCACATATACCGCATAGCATTCTGTGCAATCCAACAATAGTACACATAAAATTGTACATCTCGAGTTGTGTTAGAGGTTTGACCTAATGTAGTCCATTCATGTCATAAACTTGTATGTATCCCAGTACATGTATCATCAAATGTGTTGAGTTTTTAGCATTCACTTTGTCATAGTGTTTCAGAACACCATTTTCTACTCCATCCAACACATATTTGTAGTTTTAACTGAATCATAATCAATTGACAATTCAATCTAATGAATATTATTCTTTTTATAAACCAAGAGTTCACAGTAAAACAATTATTTTATTGAATCATCCAAGTCGCCTTCTAATTCTGTAGTACATGTATGTGTAATGATTTTGTTTGCATCACAAAAGTCACTTTCAGTATATTAGTACTATGAATAGGTACAGTGTATTTTGTTGTTTATGCTGAATGTTTTGCACTCTGAATGTTTTCCTTTCTCTCTTTCCTTTGCTGTAGATCCTTGTTCTCGTACCTACTATCACTATTACTAACAAGGTATAACAATTTACACTAACTTTTTTCAAGACTTTTTGAGTCTTAGCAAACAGATGCAAATTTTAATTTAAAGATCTTGATTTAATCAAATGATTTTATAAAATTTATTTTCAAATGAGTAATGAGGAAGGAAGGTTATGAAACTGTTCTCTGGAACTTGTAATCCACAGCAAACAGTATATTACAACTTGCAGCAATAGAGGGCGCTATAATGCCAGCATGCTGTCTGTTTGCCAATTGGGCATGATGCACTACATGCACATATTGGTGGAACAACACAACTACTTTTTTCTGCACATACCGTACATATTATATGTTTGTCTGAACTTTTAGTTTGTACATGGACTAATAATCTTTTATGAATGGCACCAATGGTCTACGTGAATTTTAAATCTTGCTAGAGGCCTTCTGGCTTGAATGATTCTTTCTGTAATGTTAATTTCACTGGCTATATGTTTAAAAATCTGGTTCTATATTATATTGAATAACAGTAATAAAATATAATGTAAACAACTATCTTGTCATATATAGCACATGTACATGTAACGTTATACACATATACCTAGGACATACAGTTTACACCTGTGACTGCCTTAAATGTGTTAAATAATAATAAATTATATAATCACACAACATATATCTGTAAAAATTGTTTTCAACCCACACTGCCTATGAAGATCAATGTACATTTGTTCTTTCAGATGGTGAACCTGGTCATGTTATTATAGATAGAACTCGTAATAATGGTACATCTGATTTTGCAACTGGTGCTGTGGTAGGAGCAGCCGCTGGGGCCATGTTAATGGGACCTTTGTTGTGGGGACCAATGCTGTGGTGAAAGAACTCTAATGGCTTTTACTTACATTGATATGTTTTTTTATGTTTTGCCATTGCTGTTGTGCTTTCATCTCAGTATGATTGCAAAAGAAGGGCATGTTTCTTGTCACAGATCCGTGCAGATTGATTTACAATTGTCGTGTGTTGGAGGGCATGCGAAGGCGTACAGTTGCAATACCAGATTGCTGCTTTCTCTCAAGAATATAATATGCTGTAATCAAGATAACACAATGCTTTGATTAATAGTGTAATCTGTTTCACAAAATAGACAAATATTCATGAGTCGGTGAAAACCTTGAAATTTTGTAGCAGTGAAAATTTCACTGGTGTCTCAAAGACGCACATCGAGGTAGTTTGTGAACACCATTAAATCATCAAATCACAGAGATTAAATGAATTACACAATTTTGTTTCAAGCGCTTGCTGAAAAATTATGAATTATCAAAGATGAGTCCAATTTACACATTTTATTATTATTTTTTTCAGAAAAAAAATTAATTTCTTTCATGAATTTATTTCATAACCGGCTATATATATTTAACTCGTGGAGCGTTCATTTTTGTTATCTGGGTAGAATCCATTTCATAGCATTTTTTTTATTAAAAATTTATTCAGCAAACCCAGTAACATGTATGTCTGCAATGTCCCTATTGCTGGTTTCAAATAATGAACCATGTAAACAATTTATGTACATTATATCGTAAAATCTGTATTAGAAGCCGCATCCCTAATAGAAGTCGCCGCCATTCTTTTTGAATAATTGAGAACCAAAAAATCATCATTTCTCATATGTGTAGATGCTCTAAGAGAAGCCGCATCCCCTTTGTTGCATTGTACCATTTTAATAGAAGCAGAGGTTTCTAATACAGATTTTACAGTAATTGTCATTCATTGTCACCACATTATTGTGTTACACATGTCCTAGTATAATCCTGATCCAGCAATATTTGGGGATGGGGAGAAAAATCAACTTGCATTGTATGTGTTGAATTGGAGTGTAGAGC